AGCCCACAGCTTACCAGTGCAGGATCCATGGGAGACGGGTTGGTTACGTCGACCTGTGCCCACTGGGCTGTGCTTGCCTGTGATCCTGGCTGGCTGAGGCGGGTGGTGGAGGATCGCGATGGGAGGCTTCTGTTGAGAGTGCCTGTCTTTATCTGTCTATCTTGTTCTTTCTTGTGGAAGAAATGGACTTTAAAAAAAGTCAACTAGGGGCCCAGCCACAGTGGTAGGTTGCCCTTGTGCAGAACGGGAGCCAAGTGGGAAGGCCCAGAGTTTGGATCCCAGGTTGACTTGAACATGCTGGGCACATCCCTAGGTATGTCTGCGGCCTTGGTTGGCTGGAAGCCTGGGAGAAAAATAGTTCCTGTTTCTAATTAAAAAAAAAAAAAAAATTTAAAGAAAAAAAAAAACAACTAGGGTTGTAGTCATGTCAAGGCTTGACTGAAGATGATCTGCTTCTAAACTCCTTCAGCTGGTAGCAAGCTCCTTGAGGGTCTTGGGCAGAAAGTCCATGCTGTTAGCTGGAGGCCATCCTCAGTTCTTTATCAGGTGGCCCTTCTCCATTAGGGCAATCACAGGAAAGTCAGACAGAAAACACCAGGAAGACGAGAGTCACAAGCTTTGCAACCTAATCATGAGAGTGTCATCCCCTCGCGTTCACTGCACTGTTTGCAGAAGTAAGTCACCAGGTCCAGCAGGGGATGACACGAGGGCAGGACCACCAGAGGACAGGGATCTCTGGAAGCCTCAGCAGACGCTGTGACCACACTTAGAAAAATACGTTCTCCGGAGTCCTGTGATTGTTCACAGAAGTGGCTTTTCTACTTCTTTGACCATGATTACAGTAAGAATATATTTGAAATTGTGTCTATACATGCACAGAAATAAATGCTTTACAAAATAATACTTACCTATACCAAGTATGATGCACTCTGATACAGCCTATTGTTTTGTTTTGTTTGTTTTTTGAGAGATTTTTGCTATAGGGCACATGCACTCGCCAGAAAGACAGAGAGACAGACAGATAGAAAGCGAGAAATCACCCCCCAGGGGGGATGGCCACACTGCAATCCCTTCTCCTCCATTCTCCTATTCTCCTCTCAGGATCTGGGGCACGCACGCACACGTGCTCAGCATGAGTTTAAGCCACCGGGTCCGGGACTCGAACCGCAGTCAACTACATGGGAGTCCAGCGACATAGCCATTACACCAACTGCTGGTCCCATGCCTATTGTATTTTTTTAAGAGGTTTTTGCCATAGGGCACTGCACACACATGCTGGAGAGAGAGAGAGACAGAGACGGTGAGAAGGAAAGAGAAATCAGTCCCCAGGGAGGGATGGCCACATGGAAGTCCTCTCTCCTCCATTCTCCTCCTGGGGTCCTGGGAACGCATGCACACACACACCCAGCATGATTTTCAAGCCACTGCGTCCAGGACGCAAACCTCAGTCAGCCATGTGGAGTCCAGTGACATAACCACTATACTATCTGCTGGCCCCAGAGGTGACCACCTAATTTATCACTTCAGTTAGGAGGTGCCATTAAATTTTTGATTACATCTTGAATCAGTAAGTTACAGTTTTCAGATAGTTTGTTCATTTTAACTACATTATAAATTTATGGGCAAAAAGTATCAGACCTGCAGCAAATACTATTCTTTCGGCCGTTTTTTTTTAATATATATTTTACTGCATATGTTTCTTTTTAAAATATACTTTAATTCATAGCTGTATTTAACTTTATAAGACTTCAGTCATCAGAGAAATGCATATTAAAATCACAATGGAGGGGCCAGCAGGTGGCGTGGTAGTTAAAGGCACTGGAGTCCCATATGGTCGACCACTGTTCGAGTCCTGGACTGGTGGCTTGCTCTCTCCCTTTCTCTCTCTCTCTAGTCAAATTTTAAAAATAATAATAAAAATAAATAAATAAATAATTCTATTTTTAAAAATTCACAATGAGGGGCCAGCAGGTAGAACGGTGGATAAGGTGTGGGATCCCACATGGCTGACTGCACGATTTAAGTCCCAGACCCAAGGGGGATTGAAAATTACTCAGGACACGTGTACATGCATGCCCAAAATCCCAAAAGAAGAAAGGAAATGTGGTTGTAGTATGATCATCCTCCCTGGGGGGGGGGAGTGACTTTGATTTCTCACTTTCTCTGTCTCTCTCTGGCAAACACACGTGCCCCACAGCAAAAGCCTGAAAAACAAAACAAAAGACAAAAAGACCCACAATGAAGGCCAGTTCTGTGACCTGGTGATTAAGGCAGCTGAATCCCACATGGCCAACTCCACAGTTTGAGTTCTGGACCCAGCAGCTCCAGAAACATGCTGTGCATGTATGTGCGTACCCAAAATCCCGAATGGAGAGAGGTGGAGGAGGAGGCATGGTAGCATAACCATCCCATGGAGGTTGCTTTCTCCTCTCCCCACCATGTCTCAATGTCTCTCTCTCTGGCAAGTGTACACTCCTTCCAAAAAAAAAAAAAACTCCTCTCCCCACCATGTCTCAATGTCTCTCTGGCAAGTGTACATTCCTTCTAGAAAAAAATAAATAAATAAATAAATAGAAAAAACTCATAATGAGGTGGTGAGATATACCTGCTAGGATAGTTTCAGACTAACAATACTAAGTGTTAGCAAGGATATGCAGCAACTAGAACTTTCACACATTGCTGATTGGAAATAGCACCGACCTAGAAGCCAATCAAAGGTCCACCACAGGTGAGTGAATAAACCAACCTGGTTTATCTAGAACACTGCATACAATTTAGCAATAAAAGGAATAAAACATTAGTACAACAAAATGAATCTCAAAAACAATCTACAAAGTAAAAGAAGTCAAACACAAAAGACTGCATATTGTATGAGTCCATTTATTTGCACAAAAACTTCCCAGGGTCAGGCATTTGAAAGGATTCCCCAGACTTCATAGAACACAATCACTTAAGACTCATACTTAAAGGCAAAGGATATGGGTCAAAGAGAAAGACAGCAGTAAACAACAGGAATCCAGAGACATGCTCCCTGTGGCCCTCATTCACACGTGGACTCCCGGTGAGGTGTCTCTGGATTGAATCACCAAGATCTCTAGGAGGAATCTGGCTTTGGGAGAGCTCAAATCAGAAGTTTCCAACAGATTTTTATGCTACTCTGGCCATAAAGTCAAGCCAGACCTACGTAACTAGTCAGACCAGTTGTAAATACTCCAAAAAAGAAAGTGACTCTTGGGGTCATCGGATGAGCTTTATACTATAAACAGTGTTAAAGTCCTAATACCTTTATCCTGGTCAAAAACTAGACACCCAGGTGTCCCCAGAGATAAGGACAGAGCTTTTGCAATCCTGCTATATCTTTGTTCTGCAATATAAAATTCTAAAATAGGCAAAACTACAGCCACGGAAAGCAGGTTAGCCATCACCTAGGACCAGGGATAGGGGAACAAGATTGAGTGCAAAGAATACAAGGAAAGTTTTTAGGAGATGAAATGATTTTCTATATCTTCATGATTACACTGTTACACACAAGTATCAAAATTCATTAAAAGGGGACCACCAGATGGCCTAATAGTTACATCACTGGACTCCCACATAGTTGACCACAGTTCAACTCCTGGACCAGGTGGTTTAAAACTCACGCCGGGCGTGTGTACATGCATGCCTAAGATCCCAAGAGGAGAATAGAGAAGGGATTGCGGCATGGCCATCCTCCTGGGGGATGATTTATGGCTTTCTGTCTCTCTCTCTCTCTCTCTGTTTCTCAGGCAAGTGCCCTATAGCAAAAATCTAAAATAAAAAATCACTGAACATTGAAAAAATGACTAAAAGTCAGTACATTTAACATTGATGTTGTATATAAATAATAACAAATTAAAAAGAACAACTCTTTCAAAAGGGGCATCATGCTAATGGGAATAAATCTTTTCACAGAATGTTTTCTGGCTAAGATTAAAGCTATGTTGTTGATTATCACTACAGTGCCTTTGTTTCAATGACTATTTAATATTCCGCTGTGCAAGTACTCCAACTTACTCATCCACTCTCTTGTTCATGGGCATTCAGGTTATCTGCAGCTTTTGCTTTTGTGAACAGGGCTGCTATGAGCATTCCTGTACATGTTTCCTGCTGGGTACACGAGTTTCTCCAGGAATTCTCTCTAGTATTGGAGTAACTGGGTGGTAGGGCAGGTGGATATTGACTTATAGGAGATAATCAAACTCTTCTCTAAAGTAGTTTTTGCTTTTCTTACCAGGGTCAGTCTGTTCCCAGTTAGCTTCCGACCCCAGAAGCAAACTCTCTTCTCTTGAATTATCACTGTGTAGCACTGAATCAGCCATCACGCTGGATACATGGGAGGCCAAGGACAGAAGCCCAAGCACCTGGGGTCTCTCAGCCTCAGCAAACACTAAGTATCTGTAGACAGGAAAAGGACCATATGCCATGCAAGAAGGCTGGTTAAGTCCCACTTAGAGCACCAGCCAAGCTCCCTGGAGTGCTATCTTCCTAGCTCCACTTCATTTTGAGTCTGGAAGGTAGGTTACAATGCAAATCCCAGGAAAGGAGAAGGCTTAACTTTAGCTAAAGTCCTTTTCAATTGACTGTCTAATGCCCAAATTCGATTAGCAAGAAAAACACAAAGGACAAAGGAGTGGCAGGGAGAGGAGAGATAAGGGAAGTGGGAAGAGTCAAGAAGCCTTCAGGTATTCTAGCTGTCTGCCCCTTCCTGCACAAGGACCAGTTCTTCAGGAAAAAAGGTTACCTAGTTACCTGCAAGTAATCTTATGCAATTTTTAGAACCTGTTTCCTCCTCCTTTTTTTTTTTTTTGTATGAGAGATATTTGTTATAGGGTGTGTGTACTCTCCAGAGACAAAGAGACAGAAAGACAGACAGAAAGAGAGAAATCATCCCCCAGGGAGGATGACCATGTCACAATCCCTTCTTCTCCATTCTCCTCTTGGGATTTTGGGCACACACGCACATGTACCCTGTGTAAGTTTGTCCAGAACTCGAACCGCAGTCAACTATGTGGGAGTCCAATGACATAACCATTACGCCATCTGCTGGTCCCCAGGCTACCTTCTTTTACCTAAAGTTAGAATGACTGATGTGATGCTGCCCCCAAACACACCCTATGAGGCAAAGCCCTGTGATGCTGGGGAAAGCATTTGGAGGGGCTTAGGGGTGGGCCAAGGAGCAGGCACAGAGCTCAGCCTGCGGCTAGAAACAAGAACAAAAAGCCCGGAATATAGCAAAACATGCTAGGAGATTCCCAGGTCCCCAGGAAGCAGGAGAAGAGTTGCCATTCTGAGGATGGGAAGCCATGATTATCTTCCATAATCCCAATTGCCACACCTCCAGGGCTCCCTAGCTGCCTGTCTGCAGAAGCTCGAAGAATACTTGCTAGATGAGTGAACAAAGGAAGAAACACACAACAGAATATGACAGCCCTGTGGCAGAAGCTGCCTCCCAGCTACATCTGGGCAGCCGTGCCGTTGACAGCAGGAGGAATGGCCGGAATTACTCAGCTTAGGAGGCTTTCTCAGCGTGAGCAAGTAAGCAGATTATTATGTACCGGCTTAACATTTTTAGTTACTTGTTCCTTAAATTAGATAACAGGCCATATGGAGAAACTAGGTGGGTTTGTTTGAGCCTCTCAGCTGCTTAAGACTGAGAGGTAGAACTCACCTTAAGAGTGTGAGAGGGGTTCTGTAACCAGAGGCCTCCAACTAGGCTGAGGTCTTGGCATTTGGGTACCTCAGAGTCAGTGCTTAGCAGCTTCGGCTGGGGCAAATGGAACTCAAAGTACCTAGAGTGACATGAAGCTCCCTACTATAGCCCGGCTCTCTAGAGCTTCAACATTTTATTGGCTAAATGCTCCTTCCCAAGTTTATAACTTCAAGTATGGGGCTGCTCACTGGCTCCTCCTTCTAAGGCCCTTCAGAGGGCAGGAACCTTTAGCACAGGCTTGGAGATTATGGGGAAGGGGTATAAATAAGTTAGAAACCTGCTGACGCGCCACAGTTGGACAGCAGGACAGAAAAATCCCTACTTCCTACGGCTGAAAACTGTCTACAAAACGACTCGAACAGTATGAAGACAGGACCCAGAGTGCATCTCTGCTGCTAGTCTGTTTCTGTTGCCTCCAACAAAGGACACCCTTTGTCTTCCAACTTCAAGGATAGGGTGATGCTATGTCAGTCTATGCATTTTGCAGAAGTACATAGGCCCAAAATTGGCCATAAGGTTTGGTATTACCAGCTCCCCAACCTGGCAGGATGGGAAAAAACAAAATGTGTCCTTGAAAAGCTTTCGGAAGTGAGTTAGGTCTTCCACCTGAACCTCGATGCTGTACTGATTGGCCAGGAGCTCGATGGTGCCCTGCACCACGTACTCGTTCTGCAAGTGTGAGAGTGAGCAGGTGGAATAGACGGCGTGGCCTCCTGGTTTGGTGGCAAGGAGTCCTGCTCTGAAACCAGAAAGAGAGAGAAGTGGTGACTAGTCAGCTTCCCAGCAGTGGAAGAGCAACAAAAGGAGACAGATGGAGGAGTCTACTATGGGATGGGGAGCTCCAGCCTCTGAAACCCTTCCCAGTAACACTGCCTAAGAGAGCAGCCCGACTTAATTCCTTCTCCAGGAAGCCTTAAAACGATGCTCTGATCTTTGACTTTGGTTGTGAACCAAACCCTGAACCTGGCTAAGCGCTGAGTTCTTTCCTCACCCTACAGAGCCTTGATCTCAGTAGGTATTTTCCAGACATGTGCTACTCATTGATACTGGGGTAGAACAGCCTGAGTGATTCTATGCAGCTCACTCTGTCCTACTGGATAGGGTTCGTGTGTCTTAGACAAGGACCATCCCATGATGTCTATCTCCTCCAGGGAGGTCTCTAGCTAGAAGACCCCGTCCCACTGTGGGTGATGGTCTCGGCAAGAGCTTCCAGTCCCCTGGTCCCCAAGCAGGTAGCCAGACTTCTAGAGCACCTTGGCACAGGCTTGAGTTTTTATAAATCTATCACTCACGCGAGAAGCTGCACCTGCAGTACAGGCAACATCTGTCGCTCCTTCTTCCTAGACCGCTGAAAGATGTTGTTCTCCTCCTCATGAAGGGAGTGGCGGTCTGTGGTACAGGGCACATCCACCAGCACCTGCCCAGGGCATTACAGGGTGAAGAATTAGAGCTCTTGACAGGCTCTTCCCTCTGAGGCCAGAGCTGTTGAGGACCCTGGTTCTGGAAGGTTTTGCAGAATGCTCCCTCTACCCATCCCTCCACTTCAGAGAACCTGAAAAGCTTCTCATTAGCCCAGTAGCTACTGTGAAATAATGAGTGGGAACATAGTATATTTAGGAATATTCATGGCTGGTCAAAAACCCAAAACCAGCACAGAAGTAACTACAATAAAATAACTGATATTAATCTAGAAAGAAGTCTTAGTGACTCAGGGCTCTGTCCTTAACTTCTTGAATGAACACATTCAATTAATAATGCTCAAAGAGTAGCTAATGTAAGGGACTTTCAGCAAGTCCAGAGAAAAATCAAACTAAAATATGAATTTATTTTGCTACAACGATTTTTGAAATCCATGAAGTTTCTCATAATATGCATTTTGCATGAACTTTTTGAAGACGTCATGTATACTGGGTAACAGGATCAGGATTCAGAATTATCTTAAGTTGAAACAATGTCAGCTCTAATATGAAAATATTTTAAAGTAAGAAATGCAAGATCAGGACCAGCAGTTAGCGTAATGGCTATGCTGCTGCACTCCCATTTAGTCAACGCAGTTTGAGTCCTGGACCCAATGGCTTAAACTCACGCCAGACGCATGTGCATGCATGCCCAAGATCCCGAGAGGAAAATGGAGAAGAGATTGTGGCATGGCTATCCCCCCTGAGGGGTGATTTCTCGCTTTCTGTCTCTATCTCTCTCTTTCTGGTGAGTGCACATGACCTATAGCAAAAACCTCCAACAAAAAAAAAAAAAGAAAAAGAAAGGAAGAAAGTAAAAGAAATGCAAGATTGCAAGATCATTCATTCATTTGCTAAGAGCCTACTCTCTGCTCAGCACTAGAGACAAACAGAAAACACTTTAAAGACAGTCTTATGTTTTAAGAAAGTAAAATCACTTATAGAAAAGAGCTGTGAATTTTTATTTGAGCAGAATCTCCAAGTAAATAATGACCCAATGCCCAACATTCTGTACGCAGAATATTGAAAGTAGTCTTCCCAAAGCTGTAGTTGACACAGTACATACAGAGTAGGAAAATAAGGGTTGGTCCAGTTGTACAGCAGTAACACACTGCTCAGGCAACACTGGATCAATCTAGAAGACTGTGGGTTTGGTTCCCGAGTTGACTGTACATGACAGGCATGATCCTGGCTGGGGAAGTTAAGAGGATGGAGGGCACAGTGATGAGACCCTGCTGAGGATGTTCTCTGTCAGTCACTCTGTCTCTGTCTCTCAATGTCATGGAAGTCAGTGTCATTTTTTTTTTTAGAGGTTTTTGCTATAGGGCATGAGCGCTTGTCAGAAAGACAGAGAGAGACAGAGAGACAGAAAGCAAGAAATCACCCCCCAGGGGGGATGGCCACGCCGCAATCCCTTCTCCTCCATTCTCTTCCCAGGATCTTGGGCATGCACACACATGTGCCCGCGTGAGTTTAAGCCACTTGGTCTAGGACTCAAACCATGGTCAACTAAATGGGAGTCCAGATATAGCCATTACGCCATCTGCTTGTCCCATAAATACACTTTTAAAAAAAGAGTAAGAGGTGGGACCAGCAGTTGGTGTGATGGCTATGTTGCTGTTTTATCATAAGAGAATAAAAGATAGGCCAAAGAGTAGAAAAAGATAGTTATAATACATATATTCATAAACAACTCATTTCCATAATACATAAAGTATAGAATTCTTACGTACGTATAAGAAAAAAAAAAAAAAAAACAGACAACCTGATAGAAGAAAAATGGGAAAAAAACTTGAATTCTCACTACAGACAAAATGGCTAGGACTAGCCCTATAGACTAGTAGCTAAGGAAGTCTGACCCCACATGGCTAACTGGGATTCCAATTCTAGTCCTAAATGGCTTAAAAACCATGCCAGGTGAGTGTGCATGTGTGCCAAAAATCCTGACAGGATGGAGAAATGAAGGAGAAGGGATTATGATGTGACCACACCCCACTGGGGGTTGCTTTTTCCTCCCTCTCTTTCTCTGGTGAGCATATGCACTCTCTCATAAAACAAACAAACAAAACAAAAGCAAGAAGCACATGAAAAAGTATCAAAATTCAAGAGTCAACAACAAAATAAAAATTAAAGCCACCATGCAATACCATTTCATATCCACCAGAATGGCTAAAATGGGGGCGTGGGGGGGATTAGTACACATTGCTGAGATGGAACTGGAATCCTCACAGCAGTGGACTGGAAACTGGCACAATCATCTGGAAAGCTGCTTGACGATATCAACTAAAGCTGAACATACAGACTCTACGACAGCATTTCCACAGAAATGGGTATGTAAGTGCACACATACACACACACACACACACACACACACACACACACAAGTTTATAAGAACATTCACGGCAGTGGTACTTGCAATAGTCCCAAGCTGGAAATAGCCCCAACTGTCTATGACTGAATGGTAAATAGTTTAATGTATACCATGGGATATATAACATAGCAACGATGAACAAACATTGCTACTGGCAACAAGATAGATGAATCTCATAAAAACAACTGTGAGAGGAAAAAACTTCAGACACAAGAGAGTGCATACCATGTGATCACATTTATGAAGTTCAACATAGGGACCAGCAGTTGGCGTAACGGCTATGTCACTGGACTCCCATGTAGTCGACCGCAGTTTGCGTCCTGGACCCGGTGGTTTAAACTCACGCCGGGCGTGTGTGCGTGCGTGCCCAAGATCCTGAGAGGAGAATGGAGGAGAAGGGATTGTGGCGTGGCCACCCCCCCTGGGGGGTGATTTTTTGCTTTCTGTCTCTCTGTCTCTCTCTGTCTCTCTGGCGAGCGCACGTGCCCTATAACAGAAAACCTCTCCAAAAAAAAAAAAGTTCAACATAGATGGTTTTAGAAGTCAGAAGTGATTACCTCCAGGAAGGTAAGTAGGGGCAAGCTGGGGTCAGCAGGTGACATGGAGGTTAAGGCGCTGGATCCCATGTGGCCGACTGTGCAGTTAGTGTCCCAGAACCAATGGCCTGAAAAACATGCCAGGCATGAGTTCATGTGTGCCCACAAATCTCAAGAGGAGACTTCAGGAGAAGGGACTGCATCCCCACTGAGAGGTGATTTCTCACCTTCCCTATCTCTGGTGAGAGCATATCCTGTAACAAACTTTAAAAAAAAAAAAAAGCCAGTAATGTTATACTTCTTGAAGGGTGGTATAAACAGTGTATCCCACTATAATAACTGGCCATGTGCTACAAGGCAATGTTTCAGTCCAATAATGGGCCAGATACAGGTCATAAGATTATGATGAAGTTGAAAAATTCCTATTACCTGGTTACACTGTAGCCATCGTAGTGTCATGGCTCAATGCATTACTCAGGTGTTTGTGATAATGTTAGTGTAAATAAACCAACTATACTGCCAGTCATACAAAAGTATATCACGGGACCAGGCTCATAGCCTAGTGGTTAAGGGAGATGGATCCCATATGGCTGACAGCAATTTGAATCTTGGGCCTGGCAACGTGAAAAATACACTGGTCATGGGCCGGCAGGTGGTGTGGTGGTTAAGGCACTGGACTCCAACATGGCCAACTACGGTAAAGTCCCAGACCTGGTGGCTTGCTTTCTCACATTCCCTTTCTCTCTCTGTCTTAAATTAAAATTTTTAAATTATTAAAATTAAATTAATTAAAATCAATTAAATTAATTTAAATGATTTAAATTAAAAAATAAAGAATAATAACACACACACACACACACACACACACACACACACACACTCTGGTTGTATATACATGCCTGCCCAAAATTCCAAAAGGATGGAGAAATGCAGAAGGGGCTGTGGTGTGACCACACCTTATTAGAGCTTTCGCGCGGGCTCTCTCTCTCTCTCTCTCGTGAGCACATAAGCCCTCTGGCAATTAAAAAAAAGTATAGCACATACAATTAAGTATAGCACTTTATATGTGATAAACAACTATGTTGTTGGTTGTAAAATCAATAAGGTTGCGGCTGAGGTGGAAAACAACCTTAATTGGGTGCAGAGAGGTTGGCACTGAGGGAACTAGAGGTGCTTCCTGAGGCACTGACCAGGGAGGAGTTGGTGGAACTGGAACGGAATACTAGATGAAAAGACAAGAAAATGAGAAACTGCAGAAGAAGAAAAAAACACCCAAAGAAAGTTCAGTGAAGGGTTTAGCAGAAGCTTTTGCAGTCCTCAAAAAGTTCCTTAAAAAGTTTGAAAACATAGAGAGCAGCAGATGGTGTAATGGTTACATCGCTGAACTCCCACATGGCTGACCAGTTTCAGTCCTGGACCCAGTGCTTCAGACTCACATCAGGCATTGAGTGAGCATGCCCAAAATCCCGAGAGGAGAACAGAGGAGAAGGAACTGCGGCACAGTCAGTCCTCTGGAGAGTGATTTCTCATTTCTGTCTGTTCATCTCTTTTCTCTGGAAAGCACACACGCCCTATAGCAAAAATCTCTCTTCAAAAAAAAAAAAAGAGTTTAAAAACACAGACCCCCCCCCAATACCAAAAGGTCTTCTCGGTTTTTGCCATAGAGCACGTGCACTCACCGGAGAGAGACAGAGAGATACAGTGAGAGAGGAAGTGAGAAATCACCCCCCAGGGGTATGGCCACACCACAATTCGCCACCCTCCATTCTCCTCTTGGGATTTTGGGCACACACACACACACACACAAATGTCCTACATTATTTTCAAGTCACCAGGTTGGGGACTCGAACCATGGTCAGCCATGTGGGAGTCTAGCACCTTAACCACTATGTCACCTGCTGGCCCTACCAAAAGGGTTTTATTATTAGAAATGTTCACAGTACATTATCTGCATACAAGCAAATAATGTTTTCATCTATAATGAAAACAGAAACAAATAAGCAAACTACTATGAACGTATTTCTAAAAAGAGTGACACCTCCTCAAGAAGAG